CATGAAAATGAAGTATTACAAACACGCTAATAATAAAAAAAAACTCTTTTTTTTCTTTCGAAAATCTTTGAGGAAAAAAAAAACAGTCACAATTCTGACAAAATACCTACACAAAGGAAATTCCGACACAATCCTTGCATGGTTTTTTTTTTTTTTTTTTTTTGCTATTCATACACTTACTGTGTTTCTATTAAAACAAACAAATTCTCAAAGGTTAAATTAATAATAATAATAATAATAATAATAATAATTACCATTCAATACTTAACTAAACCAAAAAAACAACGAAAAATTACAATTGTGTATAGGGATGGAAATGGGGCGGGGTTGACCATCCTTGTCCCCATCTCCATCCCCGACGGATGCGAGGAATCAAATCTCCTCCCCTTTGTATTTTGGGCTTTTCCTCATCCCATCTCCAATCTATCAACATAATAAACTTAACTTACACAAAAAGTCAAGTTTAATAAGTGATCAAAACCATATGCCATAAACACATTCTGTTTACATCAATCATAAAGTTTAACAAGCATCAAAGTAAAAAGTGTCGATTTGGTATACAGATCGACGAACAAAGTGACGATTAATGAACTCTTGGAATTAGAAACATAATTTTGTATATGGACTCTATCTCTAATGGTCTAATATAGATCAATTCATTTTAATGGACTTAATTCAAATTCAATAAATGATTGATATACTAGGATTATACCCGTCCCCATCCCCGGTTTTAGCATAATGGGGATCTCCGGCCCCGTATCCGGTACATGTTTTTGCGGGGAATACCCGTCCCGGATTGAGGCAGGTCAACCGGGTGACCCACCGGGTCGGGTGGAATTTTCATCCCTAATTGTGTACATGTTTATGGAATTTGGCATATTTCTAAAATTGCTAATACTCACTCTAGGCAGCACCGTTGTTAGACCTTAACTATGATGTGCTATTTTTAAACATAATGCAATTGAGAGCCATTGATTTTCATTAATTTAGGGCGACCATCTAAAAAAATATCATATTCCTTTTAGAAAAGGTTACAGGTCGGGCCATATATAGCATAATGTTTAATCACCTTTGCAAAGTCATAGAGGTTATTCGTGCTTTGTAGCAAAGGAAGAGGTCTATGGAATCCATGCCGGTCCAAACATATTTTGGGCAAAAAAAAAAAAAAAAAAAGCTTTTGGCTTCATGTTTGCTTTGGTGGGCATCATTTATATCTTCCTTTCCTTTCATGAGTGCGAAATGGAGGCATCAAAGTTAAGATTTCACAATTATAAGAAATTGAAACATTCCGTTTTAAATTGTAACTATACCAATTGACAAAGACGAAAAGGAACATATTTTATTGAACAAAACCTCTATAGCAAAGATAACTTGCATATTAAATTATCCCAAGTTAGTTTTACCCTACGGTAGTGATGCCCACTGATCTATTGTTCATAACTTCATATATAGTTCAACTTCTGTTCCTTTTTAATGTTCGTTGACAGTGAGAAAATTGTTTGGAGGTTATATGCATCAATGCATGAAAGCTTGTCTCCTTTTTTAATATCTTTTTGAATATCGATAATTGTAATCACATGTGTGTCTCATGTTAACATTATTTACTCATGGTTTCATTATATACCCTTTGATACTTTCAGAATCATACTCCTTTCGACCATATTTATAATTTATGTTATTTTTTGAATTGTCCCAAAATAATAGTTTATTTTTTTAAAATAAACATATTTTATTTTACCAAAATGCCTCTCATTATTACTTAGACCAACCAAAACATTTAATGATGAATTTAAATGCAAGAAAAATCACATTTTTTTTCCTTTTTTTCCTTTAACTTCTGTGCGTATCTCTACAAACTTAAATGTTTTTTTTTCCTTTTTTAGTACTTTGCATATATATATATATATATATATATATATATATATATATATATATATATATATATATATATATATATATATATATATATATATATATATATATATATATTAAATTGTATCATTTGTTCCTTCCCTGCAATTCTCTACACAATTGAATGTTTGTGTGTGTGTTTTTTTACTTTCCATATCACAAAAGTACAACACTTACAAAGACATCAAAACAAAAATACAAGTACTTAATTTCATTATCTTTTCATAACAAAAATATAAGTGGTTAATTCCATTCAAAAAACATCGGTCAAATTTCGATCACTACACTTGTTTCTAAATTAACTAAACAGCCAAATGCAATAGAGCTTTGTCTATCAAATTTTGATTACATTCGATTTGGAGTGGTAAGTTAAATTCTCGTCACAACCTATTCTTACCAATATACACTATTTGATAGTCGTTGCCACCTTGAACATAAACCATATTCTTACCAATATATAATATTTGATAGTCGTTGTCACCTTGATCAACATTTATGATTTCTCTCATATATGTTTGTAGAGTTAAAAATAGGTTGTTAAGTTGTTGAGATTGCATTCTTTAAAAAAAATGTTTGAACCGCATGAATCAATTCATCAATTGTACCTAAATCTAAAATAACTTACCACTCCACGGTGGAGAAAGTTAAAATAATCTACAAACAATAGAAAAAAACTAATCATTAATAATAAAATATGTTAACAATTGTTTATATACAACATTTGATTTTTTTTTTTGGAATTTTATGACCGTTATTTTTAATTAGAAATAATTATGGTTAGTAAGTACTAAACAAGTTATGTCATAAGTATAAAAACACAGTTCATTAATATAAATTTCGAAACACTTCATGTTGTATAAAGTTTCTAAACTTTCAATGTCAGTGATACAATATTCTAAGCTGGATGTGTAAATATCTATTAAAAAGTTTGAAACGTGAATAGAAACTTTGTGAGAGTTTATTACAGTTTGGAAATTCAATAAAAACATAAATCCAAACAATTCAAGAAAAACATCATCTTTCTGGAAATTCAAAATTTTCCCTTCCATTATACGTACCATGTGACACAAAACTCAAAAAAAAAAAAAAAAAAAAAAAAAAAAAAAACCCTAAATTCAATGGCGGACATGAATGGGGCTCAAGGTGCCAGCCACTCCTCTAATTTAGCCATAAGTGTTTTTTTTTTTTTTTTTTTTTTTTTTTTTGTCGTCTATATAGTTCAACAGCTTCATAGTCCAAATATATATATATATATATATATATATATATATATATATATATATATATATATATATATATATAGGGTAAAGTGAATATACCTAACAACCTATATAAACTTAGGTACCTAACCACATCATACTATACGTAATTTTATATTATATTTGCGTATGATGTGGTTAGGTACCTAAGCTTATATAAGGTTGTTAGGTATATTCACTTTACCCTATATATAATATATATATATATTATATATATATATATATATATATATATAATATATATATATATATATATATATATAATATATGACATTGAAGACTTGGTACCCAATATTGCAGCTGCATTTAAAAAAAAAATATTAGTCCACTGGAACTAAAACATTAGCCCACTTACACCCAATAACCAATTCCCTAGTTGTTGGTGTGGCAAAGTCGGTTGAAGCACAATTGCACAAAGCAAGAAAAAAAAAGTCATTTGCTCTGTGAAGCTGCGATGCAAAGATCAACAAGAAGAGAAAAAAAATCCAATTTGTATCCCCAAGCTCCATTGCTTCAAGCTATTTCGATTTTGTTTTCTTCAAACCTACAATGAAAACAGGTAAGTATTTATATTTATAGGTTTATAAAATTATTCAAATTAGTTGCTTTTTTGTTAAAATTTCTTATTGTTTAGGTGAAATTAGTAGTTTAGTTCTTGAATTGGTGTTACTTGTTAGATACTTATATTGTTAGATAAATGGATTGTTTACTTGTTTGATATTGAATTGTTAGGATCCTTTTTTGGAAGAACAAACATCAATAAATCAGTGTTGAAGAATCCTCCAAAAGATCATGCTCCAATGATTTATGTTCTCAATGATCCTCTAAAATACCGTATCCTTCTAATCAATCATTCTTTTCGGTTTCTAATGTATATCCACAACCAACAACTACTCCAATTACAAGTGTTTGAATTGAAATATCTTTCCAAATGACCCTCATGTTAGACTAAAGATTACAACTTACAATCCAAATCAAAGAGATGAAATAAGGATATATTTGCTTTAAGGATGGTTTTGGTTTATATGTTGATGGAAACGGTGAAACATCGGTCTTATCCTATGATTTATAGGCTGTTGAAGTTGTTTTTGATTTTACCGGTCGCGACCGCAACAATCGAAAGATTTTTTTTGCGATAAAGAATTTGAAGACGGACTTGTCTAACAAAATAGGTGATGTTTTTTTTGCACGATGTCATGATTTCTTATGTTGAAAAAGAAGCCCTTATTAAAGTCAAAATCGAATATTTAATTGATCGGTTTCAATATATATATATATAATATATATATATATATATATATATATATATATATATATATATATATATAGAGAGAGAGAGAGAGAGAGATAGATAGATAGATAGATAGAGGTTCATTTGAGACCACCTATTTTTTGTGAGACATGGGGATCAAATCTTAGCCTTTGATTAGATTTGATCTTGTGGCTCATAAAAAAAAGGATTAACATTAATTAATTTAACTGATTAGTTAATTAGGGGTAGATTAGTCACTAGGTTAAATTGTTAGCTTAATTTTCACATCATCCAGAAATCATCTCACCTGTTCATCACCTGTTCATGTGTTTCTACCAATTTATACGATGAAACAACATTCATTGTTCTTCAATTCAAATTGATCGATATTCTATCTCCAATCTTATATTCTTTCAACCGATAATCGATTTTGATTTTTGACATTGATCGAACGATGCTAAATCAAAGCTTTTAAATTCACGATTTTTGTGTTATTCGAGTTCATGTTCTTGATTCTTCTTCATCTGCAATTCACGATAAGCTGAGTGATTTTGATCAATTTTAACTTTGTGATCATCGATTTTGGTAGAGGTTCAAGTGTTCAACGATTTCTTCTAATCCTCATCTTCAACAATTGTTTACGATCTTTCAAGCCATGAATTTTACTCAACGTCATGAAATCGTCAATTGATCAAGGTTTGAGTTTTCATCGATTTCACTGTTAGTTGCATATAACGTATTCAATTTTTAACCTAGTTCATGAATTGAATCATCAACTATTATCGATTTCTCCAATTTTATATTTGTATGATTTGTGATTTCAGAAATCAAACATCATCTTTTTTGAGACATCCAATTCAGCAATCAAAGATCATTTGTTGTTGAATTTGTTTGAGCTAGAAAACAATTTAATCTATAATATGTTGTTTGTCAATGCATCACCTATTTCATTGTTTGTTTTTTAACTTTTCATTTAATCATTATGTTTTTCAGCAATATGTCATCTGTTTTCTTTTGATTAACATCTATTTGCTTTTCATTAACATCATCTTAGTGATAAGTTCATGAGACTGCATGTTATTCTTATAGAATATTTTACATACATTGATATATCAATAATGATAACAGTTATGGATGATTTGGATATGCATGACATCGAAAACAATCATCTTGATGAAGAAAATCATCAGTTCGGTTATACTAATTCAGAGTTTCTTCATAACGAGGAAAATCAATCGGAAACCCAAGGTAATCATTGTTTTCATTGTTATTTGCATATAACATATTCAATTTTTAATGTAGTAACAATTATGTATGATTTAGATATGAATGACATCGGAAATGATCATTACGATGAAGAAAATCATCAATTCAGATATGGTGATTCAGAGATTCTGGATAATGATGGAAATCAATTGGAAATCCAAGGTAATTCTGTTACTGATGTCGGTTATTCTTTATAGAATGATGTTGGTTATAAGTTCATGTTACTGCATATTATGCTTATAGAATAATGCACATATAAGATTGTGGTTTTTTATGATTACATTCATATGAATGCAAATTATTATGATTATATGTTAACATGGTAGTATATTCTTTTTTATAGTTCAAAGTGACAATGTTGCAGCACAATATGGCTCTTGCAAACAATTCATTGAAGATGATGGTTCTTTATTTTGGATTCCAGAGGTTGAACCTGGTTGGATACCTACTTTGGGTTCAATTTTTAAAGATATCAAAGATGCTATTAAGTGGTATAAAGGATATGCATTAAGATCTGGTTTTGATATTAGAAAATCAACAGAGAGGAAAAAGAGTGGAATCACAACTTCGAAATATTTTATATGCAATAGAGGGGGATTGCCAAACACTTCTACCTTAGACACAATTAGTGATGATCATAATAAGCAATTGAGAAATAGTAATTGTAAACGCACAAATTGCAAAGCTTTTGTTGCATTCAAAGCTATACACATTCTTCAGAAGTTTACCTGTGGCGCTTTGAACAACAACACAACCACAAATTGATCAATCAAGATTGTATGCATCTTTCAAGAGCTAAACGTCAGTTGAATGTTGTTGATCAAGCTTTTATACATAAGCTTTCGAGTGCAAAGGTGGGGGCAACTACAGCATATAGACTAATGTGCGTTATAAAAGGAGATGTGAATTTGTTGATGGAATAGAGATAGATTGGAAAATTTTTAAAAGGGATATAAATTGTCACATCGGGGGCACTGATGCAAATTTGTTGATTACAAAGCTTCAGAATCGTAAAGAGAATGTTACAAATTTTACATACGAATACAGATGTGACAAGAAGCAGTTAAATGCTCTCTTTTGGGCTGATGACACTTCAAAACAAAACTTTGAGTTATTTGGGGACGTTGTTTCGTTTGACGCAACATATCGTACAAACAGGTATTTATTCTAGAAATATAAACATTTTTAGTTATATATTCTAATGGTATTTTTTTGTGTTTTTTTAGGTATTGTATGGTATTTGTACCTTTTACTGGCATTGATAATCACAAAAGGTGCGTCACTTTTGGAGCTGGTTTGTTGTGTAGAGAAGATACAAATTCCTATATTTGGTTACTTCGGTCATTCTTGAAGTGTTTTGGAAAAGCACCAATCATGGTCGTGACCGATCAAGATCTAGCAATGAAAAAAGCTATTGAGATAGTATTTCCATACACAAAACATAGATTTTGTATGTGGCATATCACAAGTAAACTTCCATTGAAGGTACTAACATTATTGTTATATTCTTATCAGAATATTAAATGAAATATTTTTTGTAATTAGGATAATAGATTAAATGAAATGCCTTTTTATACTATATTATATTCTAACAGAATAATATATGAATTGTTTTTGAAGGTAAGCTGGGAAACAATGAATGAATCAGATTTTAAGGCGGACTTCAATAGTATAGTATGGGACTCCAAAATTGATGTCAATGATTTTGAAATGAGATGGGATGCATTAATGGTAAAATATAAGTTGCAAGACAATAAATGGATGAAAGATATGTTTGATTTGAGAAGCAGTTGGATTCCAGCCTATTTTAAAGATGTACCATGTCAGGTCTAATGAGAACAACTTCTCGGTCAGAAAGTGAGAATTCAGCATTCAATAGGGTATCGCATCATGGTTATACGTTAAACAATTTTATGAATGCTTTTGAGTCTGTTATGGAAAGGCAAAGGAATAATCAGATCAAATTTGATTTTGATACATCTACTATAATTCCAATCATCAAAACACCTCTTGAAGATATGGAGAAACATGCATCTATGGTATACACCAGGACTATTTTTCTCATGGTGCAGAGGGAGATTCTTCATTCACTTGTTTCTTGTTCACAGAAGAGTGTTACATCAGGCGTTGTTTCTGACATATGCATTGTCAAACATAAAAGGACAAATATATCAAAGAAGAAGGTAGTAGTTGAGAAAAAAGAAAAAGTTGACATCGATTCTGAATGGAATTTTAACACAAGTGAAGGTGATTTTGAGGTAATGTTGACATTTTAGAATATACTTAATATTCTAATAATTTTGAAAAAATTTCTAATTTTTCTTTTTTGAATATGCTTATTATGCTAATACTTTTTGAAACAGGTTGAATTCAACAGAGAAGATCTAACGGTGAAATGTTCATGCATGCTTTTTGAGCGGTTTGGAATTTTTTGTAGACACATCTTCTGTATTCTAAAGATTTATGACATACAAGAGATTTCATCAAGATACATTCTTAAGATATGGAGAAGAGATATTATCCCCACCACAGTTTTGAAAAGGACGTTTAGATATAGTGATTCGTTTGGAAATGTTGAGAAGGTTGCATACAAAGCTTTTTCCATGCTTGATCAATGCCTGTCTTCATTAAGTAATGATGACAAGAAGTTAGAAGAGTTCATGCAGAAGCTTGAAGTTTTTATGACTGATATTGGTGAACAAGGTTCAGACAAATTACCGGTTACAAAAGAAGATCATATTAATAAACTTTACGGAGCTACTACGAATCCTGAAGTTGTTGATGTTGAAAATCCACCTATGGTGAAGAATAAAGGTTCTGGTACAGGAAAACATTTAAAAAGTGCTTTGGAGAAGGCTACTATTCAAGGTAACAAGCAATCAAGATCATGCAAAACATGTGGGTTAAAGGGCATAATTCAAGGAAATGTTTGACATTGTTGAATAACTCCAAGGTACAAAGTGCATAGTGTGTCTAGAAATATATTTCGATTTTTTTTGTATTTCAATAAAGTTCAATAATACCATATAGATAAAAGTTTGAATTTTTTAGTTTGGATTTTTTTCTATGTTTTGGTTTGTGATGATGTATGAGACATTTGGGTTGTGATGATGTGTTATACATTTGAGAACATATTGATTCTTCTAATATTTTCAATCTTTAATTTTTTGAAGTATATACGAATGATTGCAGTATAATGCTTTGTTATCAAAATTTATAATACAAGATTATGCATGTAAGAATGTTATATAGGTATATGCAACATCTAATATTATTCTAATAGAATACTGATGCCATTATACATTATCTATTAGAATATTTACCATGGTCATTAAGAAGTGATCATAATACCTACTATACATTAAGCAT